TTCTCACGTGCATTTTTTTTCAAAATCTCTTTTCTTTCCTCTTATTCCCCCCCCCCACCAAAAAAAATTAGATATAATACCTGCCTGAGTTTGAAGGCTTTCTTGATCAGCTTAGCATTCTTCAGAATGACAGCTGAGGATTTGGAGAAGAGCTGAAACTCCTTGTCTTGTGCAGATTTGGCTAGTTCTTCCTGTACCTTTGCTGCAGAGACTTGCATAGAGAATGGCAGGCTTAAATTTTGTCCATGTGTCTTTAGCAGCTAAAAATGGAGAAAGTAGTAGTGCATACAGCGATATGGGGAAAGGAGAAGCAGGCCTATTATCCTTGTCTTAAGCTTTACTGAGGAGTTTAGCTCTTGAACACAAGAGATAAGAAAACAGGAATTTGTACATAAGTCTAATGTATTAAGCTGTGTTACCTTCTAATGTATTTAAATTTAACTTGGCTTAGAGATCCTTCAACTTTGTCCAAGCTGTCAAACTCTACCTTAGCAAGTTGAAAATTGAATCCTTCAGTGTGATGTCTTTTAAGAGAGAGTCTGAGCTTAACTTTTATTCAGCCCCGCTGTGTCCAAAACATGGAGGTGATTCTCTTACGGTATTCTGAGACTACTATGATAAATCAAATGTGCAGTTCTGGAAGTAATTGTGTAAAGGAAGGGGGAAGTTTTGGGGCAGTGCTGTAAAGCATAAGTGAAGCTTGGTGTTGGGTTATGAGGAGGAATGCGGGGTCACTTACATCTGTCACACAGTTGTGTATAATTAAAATCTGGTAAAAACTGTTTCATGGACTCAGTCTTAACAAGTTTTTCTTGATCTGATCTTTTAAGATCTTTCCGTGGTAAGATGTGGCTTTTAATTGTTAGCTATGCTGTAGTGTTTTGTTGTGATATGGAGGCTATTAGTATAATTATAAACTAATGTGCTTTTTGGAAAAATCAAAAGCAACAGATTTGCAAGTGCGTACTAGTTTATCTTTACTGGGAATGGAGTAATGATTAAGTATATGAAGATATAGTGTAAATCATCGCTTGCAAGTTCTCATGCATTTGGAGTAACTGAGTCTTGGAATGTTTCACAAGTAATGAGCAAGAAACCCTGAACTCTCAGGATTGTTTAGCTACTGGCCAAATGGCTTTTGTTGTCCTGTAGCTATAGATAGTAAGTATATTAAATTGCAGAAGTATCTGTTTGGAAATCTGTGCTTTATGCCCTAAAGAAATAGGTGTTTGTGTGGCAGGGAACTGCTTGGTTTGTTAGTTTTTCAGTGTGGTCAGTTCTTTCATTTCATGGTTGAGTTGGAGAGAAATTTTTTCTCCTTTCCCACTACTCCCCAAATCAACAGCTGTTCAAAGCAGAACCATGAGAACTGGCAACTCACTGTCAGGGCAAAGATAGATAAAGATGCCCCTATTTCTAGCTTCCTAGGGCAGGTATCTCGAGCAGGGGATTGATTCCTCTGCGGTGTTGGTGCTTTGTGCAGACTTGCCAGGGGCTGTTGCAGAAGCTTTGGGACCTGGAGAAAGGCCATCACGTTTGCTGTATGCAGTGTGTTTGACAGAGCTGTATGTTGAACCCCTCTCCTCGGACAGGAGGGGAGCAATTGGAAGACTGAGGCCCTGCAAATCAGGTGGTGCTGCAGCCAAAATGGTTGAGGCACTTGTGTTCTCACTGTCATCATCTGACCTCTTCCACCACGTGCTCTAGGGAAGATCTTCCTACAGGTTTCTCCTGACTGCAAAACTGCTGGCTTTATGGGACCATAAGTTGTGGTCCCTTGTAAATGCCTTGATCATGAGGCTTCTGGAGCAGGTCTGTTATGCTGGGTTCCTGATGGAAACACCGCTGCTTCCTTGTCTGCCTCTCCTGCTTGTTTTGGGCTGGGTGTCCTATGGAAAGACTCTCCCTGACTCCTATGGCTTGAGTCTAGTGCTCTCATATGTTGCCGAGTTCTCGATTACCTTTTTGCTGCTCCTGGAAACAAACGGACAAGCATCCGGTGATCTGAGCCTGCTCAGCTGGCTTCCAGGCTGCCGTCTCCTGCTATTTGATATATCCGTTTGGCCATAAGGAAGAAGATGGGACAGTTGTTGCTCAGGTCGGGTATCTCCACTCTGGGTGAATTTTAACTGTGCACTGGCCTATTTAAATGGAAGTCATTGAACTGTGAAGTGCTGGTGACCTGCAGTAAAAATATAGCTTATTCGTCATGGGGCATCTTTACTCTTGATGACGTATCTGCCACTGAACTCTGCTAGAAAAAAGATAGTGGATCTTTGGCCTGACCTGTTGCAACCTTTTTATATGCTAATACAGTCTTTCTAAGCTCTGAAGTAAACTACTGTGTATCCCAGCTGCACTGAATTATTTAAAAATGAGGAATGTTTTTGGAGAAGAGCACTGTGACAACGGAGGCATGCAATTTTTTTTCCCCTCCCTGCCCCAGCTCTCATAACACTGCTCGTTTTTTGCCCTCCTCTCTGTCCTCATCTTTCCCTTTCTTGGCTTGGCGCCTGGTCCGAGACTATGATAATGTTTGACAAATGCTTGCCTGGTATGTCAACATAAACACCTTATTCTGAGTGCAAGATAGGGTGATAACTGGAAAGAGCTGTTCAGTTTTCACCCTGCCACAGTGTTTCAAGACACTTTTTTTACCTGACAGTTGTTTCGTGTAGCGCTTAAGCTTTTAAAATGCTTAGCTTGCTTATCCAAAGTGTATTTAGTAATCCTTGGCTTTTCCTCTTGTAAACAATACATATATTGTCAGGAATGCTGATTACGGTCATGGGATCAAAACAAAAAAGAAAAACTTAAGCTGTGTTTGCTTTCTTAAGCTGTGAATAGATAAATTACAGTTTACAAACAGCAGGTAGCAGGAAAATGATTTCTCTGGTGCTTTCAGGTCAGACTTGACTCCAGCAGAAGAGGCTTGTGTTTTTTAGCTGGTTTTACAGTGCCTTTCAACGTAGATATGCACCAGGGGCTTAAGGTTTTTATCATTTTAGATTACCTCAAATGAACCTGAGGCCAGTAATGTCTTCTCTTACAATTGGCATGCTAAAAAGTTAACCCAGACTTTTTTGCTGCCTGTTTTGAGCTTCAGTAAATAGGACCTTTTTCTCGATATTGGGTTCAGGTAATCCCAGTCCAAATTTGATCTTCAAAATAGGGTTAGTTCTCCAACTTTCTGTAATTTCTGAATATTGCTGTTGCATAGCAGTGGATCAAACAGCAGAAGCAATGTGACCCAGCAGAGCAGCAGTTTTCAGGGCATCTTAATAAAAGCCTTTGGCTTTCCTTTTCCTCCTGTGAGTTATTTGCAGAGAGCTGAAGGCTGCAATACACGGAAAGACTTGACTTTTGAAGTATTTTGGGGTAAATGTGTGTCTCACTAACATACACAAGCTGCTGCTGATTGTAGCTGAAACGTAAAAAGAGGGGTTAGCTAAAGACGGAGAATGCTCCCAAAGTAGCGGCTCAGATGTCTTTATTACGTTACACAAAAACCATATACTTTATGGGGGGGGGGGAGGAAAAACTGCAAAATAAGTTTGCTTTTCTTTTTTTCTGAAGGCAGTGGGAAAGCTTGCTTACAGCTGACGGTTGCTATGGGTACATTTTGGAGTTGTGAATCACTTGCATGTTTTTATATTCTGCATTGTGAGAGAAACAGAGAGAATGAAATAACTTTCTGCCTTTCCAGATTGTCCATAAGCAAACAAAGGCTTTGAAAGCAGCTGCTTATAGATAGATTCACCAAGGTAGTTGGGCGCAACTTTTGACCTGTTATTTACTCTAATACTGGTAATTGGCTCTGTTACACTGGCACATCATCAGTGCTGTTTGATCCCTGTAAAGTTGTAACGCGCTCGGTAGGAGCAGGCTGTGAGTGTGAAACCTAGTGATAATCTGTAATCAGTTTTGCATTGTTCTGGAAAATGTTAAATCATGATTTACAGTAATGTTGTTTGAATTTGTAATGGAAACATGGTATCTCTTTGCTTTCAGCTGACTAGACCTTTACAGAAGGAACAAAATCAGGAATGTTTTCAGAAGTAGGACAATTGAGTCCTATTTCTCATGTTTAAGTGTGTGGCCTTGAGAAAGGTTGGACCTGAGTACAGCCCTGGTAATTTTCTTTGTATTGGGGAGTGAAGGGGAACTTGACTTGCCTTTTTTTCAAAAACTAATTCCCCTCTGCCTCCAGTAGTATTTACTTCACCAGCAGTTTTTATTTAATTTTACAGTAAATATCTGCGTGGATTATTTCTGTCCTGCTGACATGCTCTTTGTTTGCTCTTCTGGTTTTGGGAAATCTAGATTTGTTTTTTCCTGTTCTGTAATCCCATTTGACAGAAGTCGGCTCCATCTAATTTAAGCTGACATATTTTGACTAATGCATAGTAACTCTGTGATTGTCACAGTACTGAAAAAGAGCGTGTTTCTAGAATAAGCTGATACCCTCACTTGGGTGGAGAGGTTACCACAGATGTTAGTAATTGCAGGTGCCGATGTTTAGTAGGTAGTGCGATAGAAAACAGCGTGTTTCTAGAATGAACCAATATTCTCGCTTACCTGGGTGGAGAAGTTACCACTGATGCTAGTAGTTGCAGTTGTTGACCGTATGTTGAGCAATCCAAGGTTGGTTTTGTAGAGAAAAAACTGTATCGTGGTGGATGGGAAGCAATTCCTCTGTGTACAGATTAGAAAAGAGGGGGTTTTTCGGTAACACAGAAGGATCATAATTAGCTTTTAGTCTTGTTAATGCCAGTTGAGATGATACACTTAGACTTAGTGTAGAGAGCATATCTATTCTATAGTGTGTTCATTTCCAGTATTCTTGAATTTATACCATTTAGCCAGACTCCGTGTGTTTAATGTTAAACTATCAATCTCGAGTTTGTGAATTTTGATCTGAAGTACCTAACATGACGTTTTGGGCAACTGGCCGATAAATACCATTGTACTGATTCTGTGAATGTTGTCCACTTTTACAGATGCCTTTGTAAATAGCCAGGAATGGACACTAAGCCGATCTGTACCGGAGCTCAAAGTGGTGAGTTTATATTTACTTTCATCTCTGAAAACATTCTCAAAATGTTCTGTGCAAGTGTGAAAACCTTCTAAGGTTTGTTAAACTTTGGGGAGAAAAACGTAGATAGTAATTTTTTTGCAGTGAAAAGTTTTCTCCAACGAAACTATCTTTATGAAGTTTATGCATCTCTTTTTTCTTAAGCATGCTTTAAAAGTCTACTGTTCTGTTTCAACTTGTTTGCTTAGTTGAGCCAGCTTCCTTGTGCGCTCTTCAGAGTAGAGAGATCTGACACATGGGGGTGGGGGGAGAATTGGCAGGTGATCTCTACAGCTGTATATAATATCTAAAGCTCTTTTTTTCTCCTTGTAATAATTTTCATTTTTATTTCAAGGACCAAATGCCTTTTCTCCAGTTTTTTAAAGAATTTTAAGTGAACATTCTGTCTGGGGATTTGTTTGGACTTTGTTTGTTTGTATATCTCAGGATTTTTTTTGTCACACTGAATAAAAATGGAATGTTTGGAAGGTTAGTTTAGCCAGTCAAAAACTACATTTGAGTATAAGAATTAACAGTGGCTTAACAGTTGCTTACACTAGCTTTTCCTTGGCTAAGTTTATTCATGTGTAAGTAGAGGAAAAGGCAAAAGGATCACAGAGATAGGGTTGAGGGGATTTCCTGCAGTTGCTGTTTTAGAAGTTATGAACATAGAGGCTGGCAGTATGGTCTGAAACCTCTTATTAGTGGTTATTAAATGGGCAGCTTGTCGAGCCAGCAGCACAAAGTTACTGAGCTCAGATCATTATGATGTTCACCATATGGAAGTCCACATTCAATTAAATAGTGTCAATTTATAAAAATCTGTGGAACAACTATAGTATCCAAGATACAGTACTTGGTAATACCTTTGGAAGGAGTCTGTGTCTGCTCCAGATGGTCATAAGATTGCAGATCACCTTTTCCTTAAATCGCTTCTGTTGACCTAACGTAACTGTAAGAGCTGCTCTGATTCAAACATCCATTCCTCAGATGGGTGGCAAAGTGAACTGGACAAAACCATAGCAATTTAAGAATGGACAGCTGGGGCCATGCTTCATTAGTCCAATTTTCATGTGGTAAACTTCTTTTTCCAAATCTGAGTTGATGATAGTGTTTAAGGAGATGAGAGAAAGCATCAGAATGCTTATCAGCAGAATGCTTATCATCAGCATGCTTTATAGTGTTTAAGGAGATGAGAGAAAGCATGGGTCAAACTTAACATGACAGGCACTTATCAGAATGGCATTTAAATTGTGGCAGCTTCCTGATAACTAGAGTTGTGTTTCTGTTTTGGTTTCAGCAGTGCACAAGGTTAGTAGAAGAGAAATAGAGTAGTCAAAGGATAGAACTACATAATACAAGATAGGTCTGATTCAGTTTAGCTAAAGGTGTAATTTGGAAGAGGTGTTTGCAGAAAGTGTGTCAAACAAGAAAATACTAGGCGTGTAGGACTGGAAGGTATTGGTTCCATATGGGCTACTGCAGTCACAGTTAAAGTTGGTGGGAATCTGCACAGGGTTCCCTTCTTCATCCTGTCGCCTTCCTAGCCATACCAAGCGCAGCACCCAGTAATAAATTTAAGGCTTGTCGATGAGAGCAAAGCTGCAATTATTGTATGTTGTAATACAGAACACAAATCAGTGCAGAGCGTTAGGTAAAACTTCAAGAAATGATCTTGAGGTATGGTTGTTTCTTGTGATACCAAGGTTACGTGATGTGAGTACTTTTGTCTTGGGTGTCTTGCCCCTCCTGTTGTGTGAACCAGTGGTATGAACATAAACTTTTGAGCAGCTGCTGTAAAGAATTGATTTTAAGTGGTCAGCCTCAAGCTTACTGTCCAAGGCTTCAATTTATACAGTCCTGGATAAAAGCAGAACTCTTACCATTGCAAATAGAATAATTTGATTATACCACTGCAAATTATTGAAACTAATAGTGCCAGCTGTGGCGGTGAACTTGTGCTCCAGCAGGAAGGGCAGACTAGGAGGTCCATCCAAAAATCTACTTTCTTTGCTATCAGTGTGTCCTTGAGGAGGAGTCGGTGCCCGTGTGGAGGAGTCATGCCTGTGTCATTCACCTCTGGCTGAGGAAGTAAAGGGCCGTATTTAAAAGCCAAACCTGTTTCTTGTGCCACAGCAGTGTCGTCATATTCGCCACTAAGGATAATTGTGGGTGCGTTGCTTCAGCTTGTGGCTGTGTGTCGGGGAAGCATGGGAAGCACGGAGCACTTGCCTGTGTTAAGTGCGGTAACACAGATGGGGAAAGGAGACTTAATGTTGCAAATTTATGAAACTGCACTTGCTTTAGCCGCTTGAGCGGGCTGCGCTTTACAGGAAAAGATGGTTAGTAGCTCAGTGGGAGAGAGAGTCTTCTCTGTAGAATCTGGGCAGCCCTTAAACTGAGGATAATGTGTTATTTTTGTGGTGGCTGTTGCTATATCTTTATGCTCTACAGAAGTATAAAGGGAATTGAAATGAGCTTTGGGAGAACAAACAAAATACTTAGGGTTGCAATAAGAAAACCGATGGATATATTTTCCAACATACTTTCTCAAAAGAATACTAGTCCTTTCCCTCTGTCCCTTTTTTTCATAGTACATGTTGGGCTTGATTTATTTCAGGCTTTCAGAAGCATATGCCTTTCCGCTAGTTAAGTACTACCATAGCAGAGTGCTTTACTTACTGAGACTTCTATTACTATGGCCGAGAGTATGTTAGGCCAGGTGGGTGAGAGCAGTTTCTTGGGTCACAGTGATATTCCTGCCTTCCTTTTATTGAGATGTAAAATAAATAATGTTAGGGTTTTTTTTTTTCATTTTTTTTGTAAGCAGTAGCAATCTGCCTGGAGCAACTGGCTATGTTGTTCAATGCTATCAGACGACTTCAGCTGCTGGCCTGTTTAAAAAAATAAAAATAAACAATCTCAACAGGAGAGCTTGTGTCAGTGGGCTGGCCTGCATGATGCGTGCATCAGCTGTCGCTGGTCAGGAGGCTTGGTGAGATTGATGCCTCTGCAGGGTCTGGGCCTGGGGAGCTTCGTGGTGCTTCAGAGCTGACAGTGACTGGACTGATCAAATAGGGTCTTTCTGCAACTGTAGCAATGTAAAAATACCAGGGCCATGTTAGGCAGAATGAACAGGAGGTCTTTTTGTCCAAAAACTTTCAATTTATTTCTTCAAAACATGTGCACAGTATGCGCAGTCAGGACTGTGTGCTAGATAGCTTTCAATTTTATCAAGCCGTTATGTGCTTATATAAAAAGGCTTTAGCAGGATATGGGCAGAGTATTTGTGGGTTTTGGTTTGGTTTTTAAGCATGTCTCACACATGAACAAATGATTCCAAGGCATGTGTTGTAGCCTTGTGAGCTGAATTTTCCAGCTTCTAAACTGGTTTACAATGATGTTTTGGGATATTTTTGGTCCGTAGCACTCTTGTAATAACTTTGTGCATTTCATCTGTTAATTTTTGCTATCCATAAAATTAGAAATGGCTCAAAATGTTTCTGTATAAAAAATGGGAGGCAGGAATACAGCTGATCTGAAAATACACTGGGGTGCTTGCCATGCTGTGTGGAATCATCCTTAAAACAAGTATTAATCCTGATAGACACACTTCTTGGTACTAGAAATCAGATTTTTTTTTTTTTCAGTGGGAAGTCTATCGCTCCTAGTTTTCAGCGCTTAATAGCAGTCTACCTCTGAGCAGTGACACTGCATCCACGTCATCACTGGATGAAAGAAGGCTGGTCATGCTGGTAGAAAAGAGATGGTTGGCTTGTCTCTTCAGATGCCAGCACTGAGTTGAGGACCTTTTAAGAAATCCTCTGCCTAACCACGTGAGAAGAGGAGGTAGAAGTCTTGTAAAAGCTTTCTGAAATCATTGTCTAGCAAAAAAGTGAAGCAATGCTACTGAGCTGGTCAATTTTGAGGAGATTTACTTTGGATTTGTGTCTTTTGTGAGAAGTTAGCATTAATACTCTAACACAAAACTGACAGTAGGCTCATGTTTTTTCATGTTTATTTTTATCTTATTTTAAGCTTCTGAAGTCCTGTTGTTAGTTGAGTGGATAGGTCGAATCTGTGATTTAAAAAAATAAATCTAGGAACCTCGCTATTAAGGAACAGGTGAATATTCTCACCTGTTCAGTCCTGCATGGTCTTTAAAACTCCAATACTTTTGATTCTCAACCTGGAGACAACTTGTGAAAATGAGTAAAAGGAGAAAAAGGGAAGGAAGCATACTGCTTTTCTTTAAGGGCTGTACATGTCATATATGGCAATGGCTTTCATGTTTCCTGAAAGAAGAAAGCTCTAGTTGTACTGCATGCGTCAGTGAAGTGGTTTCTTAATTGAGATCCACATCTCGCTGCTCCTGTTCATGGCTTTCGGCATCAGTCTGTAGCATTATGTGGAAATGGCAAGCTCTCCTGGTCAGGCAGCTCTGTCGTCCTGGAGGTCTGTAAGGAGCAACATCCTGGAGAATCCTAAGTGCTGTAAAATAACAAATGCTCCTGTGGTCTTTGGGATACTCAAGGGGAAAAAATGATTTCTCAGACAATGTCTTTCAAATATTTGGAGCCTCTGATTAGATACAGTATCTACGTCCTTTGCCTGTGGCTAGGTAGCGTATGCTCCCTCTGGAGCTGGAGTTGTTGCTTTTTGTTGTTCCTGACAGTTTTCTCCTATGACTGGTTACATTTTTGGCACTGGTATGATGTAAAATAGCATTTTACATCAGCACATCCTACGTGCAGGACTCCAGTTATTTGTAAGTGACCATTTAACCATCTACTATAAATGAGTTTGTCTAACTGGGTGGTTTTATCTCCTGGTTTAATGATTTCCCCCTGCCCCCACCGCTCCTTGCCCCTATGGCTGTGTTGTTTCTGCACTGATGGTGACATAACAGGTCTGAAACACAGCTTCACTATGTTGTTTCCAGTGGTCTAGAGCTACTGTTCCTAAAGTGAAAATACGAGGTCCTCTTCCCTACCGTTATTTTCTTAGTGAAACCCATACAAAGTTGGCTTGTTTTCTAATTCTTCAGTAATTACGTTACTCAAAGGGCCTTAGCCTGATCGCAGACTATTTATCTGCAGGGGAGACAACTGAAGTGGTGTGTTTAATCTACTGATTTAGAGATGAGACTTTCGGTTTCCTTGCTGTTTTTGGTCCAGGCTATCATAGTATAGAGCTGATGGGGGAAGCTTGCCTGCAAAGATGGGGCTCAGCCCCTACTGAGGGATGAACCTGCCTGCTGTAGGGAATATAGCGTACTGCTGGGCTTGTCGCTGAAGAAAACGAGGCAACTAGCGAGCAATTAAGTTGATCTCTTTTTGCAAATTGGAAATCGTGTAGAAGTAAACCCAATACCTATGGTGTACTCTTTGCGCCTTGGCCAGTTCAATTAAAAAAATGTTAAATGAGTGATTGCACGCTAAATCTTACCGTTCTGGTGCTCGTGAATCCTGAAGGGTGAAAAATAGGCCCTGCTGCAGAAGGGCAAGAAGGGACAAGTACCCTGCCGTAGTGAGGCCTTGTGTGGACGGGGAGAGGGGATCCATTTTGTGATGAGAAGGGAAGGTGTGAAAAGACCTCGCTCTTACTCATCGAACTTCATGTGTCATGGTCATGTTGGCTTGGGAACCATGGAGTGTTAATCGAACGTTTTACATATTTAGAGAAAGGTATGAGCAGACGAACTTATTCTGGTTTACCAGTGTGTAACGGGAGGGAAGCTCATTGAAGAGGCTGCTTGATGTTTTGGGGTTAAAGGACATACATTAGGGACAGTATTATTTTCCCATAGCTCACCCTTCACTTGATGTCTAAACATTGGAGAAAGCTAAAATGAAGTTGCGCTTAAGTCAGGCATTCAGAATGGAAATAACAAGAGTTGGATGGCTGTGCAGTATTGCCTTAGCTTTTGCTTTTCTTTGTACGCGTTTACTGTCCAAAATTCACATTATCTTCTGAATACAGAAATGAATTTCTGTATAGATTTTTCTTTAGAGCTTGTCATTTAATTTTTCAGTGACACACAAGATATTTCCCAATGTACCTATGAGAAGAGAGATCATGAAAATGCAGGTGTTTGGAACAGAAGTTTCACTTCTAATATTATGTGCTCCAAATGAAATACTTAGAACCAAAATGTGCTGGAAACTAAATATAGCACAGGATTTCAGCCAGCCTGCAAGTTATGAACCTCAATGATATCTTAAATTTTTAGCAGGCAGATATTCTTATCGTGAAGTAAAGATCTTGGATGATTTCGGAATTTCAGTGGCGAAAGTTTGTAGTGTCGCAGTTGTGCTTATAATTTATAGCTGCCCTAGGATAAGTTACTTGTTCAGTAGCCTTGAAAGGTAAAGTAGATCTGGTTGATTAGATTTTGTCATGGCCTGGCCCAAATGAAACTCTCACGGATTTCTGGAGAGCGTGTCTGGTGTCAGTGGTGTCTGAGAAGACAAGGATGGTCATCTGAGAGCTGGCATTTGCCTCTCTGGTATCTTGCACTTACTTATTTTATTAGATGTAGACATCTCGGCATATACTAGCATGGCCTGTAATTCCTCTTAAATTAGATTAAAAGCTTCCAGGATGCTGTTTAAACGCTCTTCTAAGTCAGCTTACATAGAAGCGTAATAAACAGATGTCTGTTGTCCAACTGCTTGGACTGTGACTTCCTCCTTGTTTATGTGGGCCTGTTCTTTGTTGATTGCAGATGCGCTTACAGTGGTTTCTTCTACTTAGTATGATTTCCTTCATTATAAACTATTTCATGGCCGTTCAAGTTCTTCCCTGCTAACCTGAACAGAAAGAGGATGAAACCTCATGTAGTATGAGCCAGACTTGCACATCAGCCCCCACCCCTTGAAAGCAGCAGCCCCACAAAACATGAAATCAGCAAATCTTCAAGTCTTTAGCATTTGAGCACCTTTGGGAAGAGACTTCTTCTGGTGCTGAGCTACATTCTACCTCTTCTGACCTCCTTTAAAAGAAACACTAGCAGTCAGGTCAACAGAGAAAAATCATGTATGCTTGAAGACGGTTTGCTTATACCTGATTGTCAGTTTATACAAATGTCCCTGAGACAGATGTTTGGGCATGGAGTGCAGACAATTTGAGTCGAAAGCTTGTTGGAAAGTCAGCTTGTAAAGTAAGAGACTAATGAGCTGTAAAGGACATGCTAAAATCTGTATTTGTATAGCCACATATATCACATGTGTGTTTAGAGAGTCAGTGTGAATCACAAGATGGATACCGTACAGAGAGAGGTTCTAATAGCAGTATTTAGTGATGTGTTTATATCATTGTATTTTCCAGTTAAGAGATGGTAAGGCTGCTCTGAGCTTGGGTTTTCTTCCTTGAAATCTATATATTGCCTAATGTTCCCAAGTAACATTAAAAGTGAGATGAACAAAGGAATTCTGGTAACATAAACTGATTTTGGTTTAGTAGTTTTGTCATGTATATTCTCTGCTGTAACCTTAGATTTTTGGACAGGTACTCTTGTCTGTTAGCATATTTTGAGGTTTTTCTCCTGTCTTGGTTTCTTCAAGCGCAATGAAGATTGTGTGTGTGTGTGTGTGTGTGTGTTTTTGAATCTGCTGTTTTTTATGGGGATTAACTGCAGTTTAATTTCTTTTTCTTTCTTTTTTTTTCCAGGGGATTGTGGGTAACCTAGCAAGTGGCAAGTCTGCACTTGTACACCGGTATCTGACTGGCACATATGTCCAGGAGGAGTCGCCTGAAGGTATGTGGATATGGAAATTATTATTAGCATGCTGATTTCACTAATTTTCTCATAGATTGCACCCTTATTTGTTCTAAATCATGCAGAAATGAATTAGTGAAGAATCAGTTTTGCTTTTTCACTTTTAATAGAGAACTGTGCTTTTCCTTTAACGGTCTCCAGACTGCAGCTAAGTACAGGCGATGAGTATAACCATACCTCTTTCATAACTGTTTAGCATCCTTAAATGCTTTCCCATCCGTTATTTGTCCACGTGGGAAGCTTTCCTAGTCATGTACTGAGAAAAGTTTACTATCCTGAGTAGTGCTACTGCTTTTAATTTGGCCGCCAAAAGCTGCGGTTATTGCATCTGGTATTGGATTTCTGCAGTGTTGGGCCCCTCATTTTGTGGTGCTGGGAAAGTTTAAAAAAAAAAAAAAAAAAAAAACTAAAAACTTTGGAAGCCTAAACTAGATATCAATTGTTTCTTGTTTAATTTACAATATCTTTGGTCTTGAACTGTTAAAAAATGTTTTTATGCCACAAAAAATTAGTTTATACATGAAAATATTGCAGCGTTTAACATTAATCCAAACTTACAGCTTGAAATCAAAAAAAAAATCATAGAACCTTACTGAGGTGTATCTTACACTAAATACTTTCTTGATTTTTTTTTTTTTATTTATTCTCCTTATGAACTTTTAAATCCATCTCTGAGACACTGAATTTCTGGTTCCTTCTTTTCCTTACTGGCTGTTCCATTCTTTGCAGATATGGATGCAGGTAACTATACATTCTCTTCATGGCAGCTCTTGTCTTGTTTTGAAGAGACAGAAGGCACAGTTTTTGTACTATAGCATTTTCCCCTTGTTACGTGTATCATCTTGATTTGTTTCCTTTTGATTTCAAGTCTTCAGTACATCTCACTGTTTGTTGTCTCTTGCTGTAGTTGTCTTTTCTTTAGTAGTATGTAGCTTCATGCATCTATGGTAACATTTGTTTCTAATTAACTCTTATCAAAGGAAGCTATTAAGCATAGTACTTGACATCTTAACAATTTTTTTAAAAATGAAAATGGGAGGAGAAGAAAAGGGATGGACAAGACTGTTCTTGTGTAGTTGCAGTAGCAGTGAAGTCCTCCAGTTCATAACCTCATGGTAAATGTTTTTGCTTCTCTGTAACTGCTGTGGGATGATAATTGGGGGTGCTGACAACTGCATGTTGATTTGACTATTCAGTGCAAAAGGATAATTTGCTGATCTGATGGAGAAGGTGATGGTAGATCACGTTTATGCCTGCTGCTTCTCTATGCTGATAGCAAGAAATAAAAATACAGTATGCATATCAATTAAATACACCAAGTCTTCAGAAGAAATAATCACTGTCTCTACTGATCGCCTTTCCCCCTTGCCCCATGAACAGAAAATATTTTGTTTCTTCTTGTGAGACTTGAACGTCTTGATTATTCACAGGGTTAACAGTACTCTCCTCCTATACTATGAATATTTTACATGATGTTCCTTGGGCGTGTTGCCATCTGTCCCCTTTGTCTTCAAGATTTTTTATTGACGGTGCTTGAGTGACATTCAGACTGCTTATCCTGGAAGAATTAGGTTACCAAAGCAGTGTCAAATCATTTCTTTGCACATAAGTGTAGCTGACAAGCTTCACTAATGACACCATTCCATTTCATTAATAGTAGAAAAAACAGGAATAATTAAGAGCTCTAATTCACCTTGTAAGGGATAGGGTCAAGATTTCCAATCAAGTTTGTAGTAAGGAAATCAACTCATATAATTTATCCTTGGTAGATATCCATAGAAGTGTTTTATGGTAGTGTTTTATTTCAGCATAAGTCTGTACCATGTCATTCTGTAGAAACTGGGGCACTAGTACAGATGGCTCTGTTGCATTGGTGGACCTTGCGATGTGACGTTCTCTGTGGGAATGCAGCTTTCTAGAAAGGCAGGCTATATGTAAATTCTGGATACAACATTTATGTCAGAGACCAATGCAGATCTTCGTCTTGTCCTTTTTGAGGTCAAAACGTGCTGGCTTTATTCAGTCAGATAGCATGCCAGGTATTGAAATCTCAGCTGCTTGACTAGTTTAGAAAAAAATACTGACTGACTCTGGCTTACTAGCAGCAAAACTTTGATCAGTTTGTATTTATCAGGCATCATATAATCAGTATCTAATTGGAAAGTGATTGATGCCCGCTTCATGTGGGAATGGTGATTACAACCAGAGACTACTGTTTCTGCTATCCTTTGCCTTCTAAATTGCTACAATTACCATGAAACCTGCCCTGAGTTAGACAAGTACCAGATCTCCCTTTAGGCCTTTGAGGTAGCTTCAGCACTCCGGTAAATGAATCTTAAGCGTATACAGATGGTTTCATGTTTCCTTCAACTCTTTTCTTTAAGACAATACATTCTTCTTGCTCCTTCTCCACGCCATGCTGCTCCCCAAGAGGAGGAATTGTATAACATCAAAATGTAAAACAAGTTTTCTTCATACTTATTTGGCCAGACTTTTATATCTGGTCAGAATTATTTTGAGGCTCTAGTAACATTTTAATGTGAAAACTTTTGTTTTCTCGTGGAACGAGATAAGTCACGCTTGGGGAGAAAACGGATTTTTAGACTCTTCCCTTCGCATACTTAACATGCATTTGGCTTTACTCCTGTAGGATGCATTTTTAAATCAGATGTATTTTGATGTATGAAAAGAAATGATTTATTGCCTTAAAACATCCTGCGTTCTCAATTGTCTAAGACTTGCAGTTTTTTACTGTAATGATAGCAGAAGGTGATTGCAAATCGCTTCAAGTATTCTCTTTTACATCTTCTGAAAACCTCCCAAGTGACTAGAAGAAAAATAGCTACTAAGCAGTCATTGATGTGGTGGTTTTTTTCTGTTGTTTTTAGGGTTTTCTTTTTTAATGTAGCTGAAATAAATGCAGTAGCTCTACAAATAAGATTGCGCGTGATCTGATGTCTTTTTTCATCTGTCTAAAATTCAGTTCTGCCTGCAGGGACATAATGAAACGTGATGTGCATGGAATTTGAGTACTTTATAGACCAAGGTGAATTGAACTTCTCAACAGTAGTGCGTTTAGGGACTTTTTGATGTTTTACAGAAAGCCACAGAGGCCTGGAATAGGAATTAAGGGCCTTTGCACATCTCGCTAGTGTGTCTGTGAAGACCCTAATTGACGTAATGATTATTTCAGTATTTTTGTTGTCATTGAGGATTTATTTTATTTTTATCTAAAATATGTTAAGTCATGTTCAAGTGCTTCTGCCCAAGGTATCTCAGCTGGGATGAAAAGAGCATAGTATTTCTCTCCTACCCCATCACCAAAGTAATCTTAGAAGAGTAGAGTGGACAACTGTATGTTCGTGAATGTAAACATGAACTGCTGGAAACTGTCCAGGACGTATTTTTGTTCATGAAAAGCAAAAACAAGAGGTGAGGTCATGTTAACAAATGCCCTTAAATTGGAAGATGCAGGATGGTTGAAATGAGAGCAGAGGACAGGTTCTCTGTTCAGGAGATGGGAAGAGAAGATAGTAGTACCTCTGGGTATATAGTAAAATGTAAGGTAGAAAGCTGATGCAGTAGGTATACCCAGAGCAGTTGTTTGGTAAATTTTGAAAAAGATTTAAGGCTGCAAGTCTTTAGTGCATACTTTCCTGAAACTGGAAATTACCTTTTTTTGCAGCTAGCTCTCTGAGAATCGATGTTATCTAGTGGCAATCTGCTCTATTTTGACCTTAAAATGAGGGACAAATGTTAGTAGGCTAATAACTATCTGTTTGGGTATATTTAAATGTGTGGGAGTTTTTTGTCTCCTGCAAGAGTAAAATTTTCTTGCCCTCTCAAAAGTGTAAAGCCAGTCTGGCAACCTGACCAGAGAGAGCAAATAGCTGTTACAGTCAGCGGAGATTTCATGTATCTGTGTAGAGAAACTTGTGCGGGTGATATAGATGCAAGCGTAGGATGTGCCTCTTTGTAATACAGTCTATTCCCTACCTTCTGGGTAGATAATGCTTGGTCTTCCTCTTCAGTACAGACTGCAAAAGAAAGACATTGGAAGTATTCAAAAGAGTTACTTTTAACAACATATAGGGTTTTTTTTTAATTTATTTTTTGCCTAAGGATTTTTGTTGCTGATGTGATAACGTTATTCGATTGCTTTGTTTCTTCCTTCTCCTTTTCTCTTCAACTGTAGCCCATTTTAAGGCCTGTACTCATTGGGAGAATGGGTTGTGAAGTATACATTGGGTGTTTCATTCTAGTAGGCATATCAGGATTGTGATCCCACTGATTTAAGTGAGGTGCAATGATTTGTTTAGCACTTGGATTTTGTAATGCTGCTTCTGCTGCATCCCGGATGTGTTACAAGCTCCAAGTGTTTACCAGCACCACTGGAACACTTCATCTCTCTTTGGGAGATGAGACACATCAGATTTCAAGTACAACTTACTTTCAATTAATTGTTTTATGTTTTAGGGATTACAATAAATGTCCCCCAACTCAGTGGTGCAGGATAAAGCCTTTTTTTTTTTCCCAGAAAGCTGTGATCATTTACTTTTATTTTCGTTTTCCAAACTTGACTGAAAACATTTATATTATAGCAGCCATCACCAAGTAACTTTTTGCAGCACCTACAGCGAAGAGTGTGTCACTTAGGCAACAGGCATGGTTGTGAAACTTGACATGTTTATTTAATAACTAGCAAAGTGGGAGCTGCAGCAGAATTTGACAGACTTTTCCTTCTGTAACAGAAGGATTCTTTTTCTTTTCTTCCCATGATTCATATGCAAGATGGAAATTTAACTGTACCTTCTGCGAACAGTTAGGTTATGAAATCTTTTCACAGAGGTCATTGACTATTTTTATCTAGTTAAAGCTTTTTTTCAAACCCGCAGGAAAATAGGGAAGGCTCTAGAGGCTGTATTTACTAAACAACCAAATTTTATCTTTTATGAGTAAAAGGAAAAGATCTGTTCCAGGAAAACTGTTTGTTCTGTTATCTGAGCAACTCATCTGAAACTTAAAAGGATCGCAGTGAAACTTATTCTCTGAATACATACTTATGCTTTTCTTAAAGAGAAACTTCAATCCTCTCTCAGCTGTGCTTTTCTGGAATTTCATAAAATCATTATCTTGTAAAACGTTGCACATAGCTTGTGCAGTGAGACTTTGTAAGAATTTCAAGTGCATAGTAGTTCAAAATAGCAACCTTAACCTACCAACGCAGTTCCTTTATAGAAGCTGGATGTTGCATCCATCAAAATGCTCAGGCCACAAAACACAGAAGCTGAAGTTTCCCATGTTGAATTCAGACCTGTGGTGCGGTGTTTCACAAGCTTGACGCAGCGCTGTTTTGGGCAGCTGCAGCTGAGTCCTTTTTCATCTGTGAAACCTGTATAGCTCTTGGGTACGGTAGACAGCAATGACTAAATTTAGACGTATGCGTTTCAAAATTATCTCCTTTTAGTGCCTTGTCTTCCATTTGATTATAGTAGCGCTAGCCATTCTTTTTTTTATTTCTTTAAGGTGGCATTTCACACTGATACACAGATGTGAAAGATCACCTTTGTCTTTTTTGATCATTTTGAAGTAGAGCTGCAGTTGGTTCTCTTGGGTTTTCAGAGCCTTTCAGGCTTAGCATAAAAGAGTATGTTTACGTATTCTGCAATCTCCGGTCTCCAGCCCTTCCCTCTCTTTCCTTCGCACCCCCCCGAGACTAGCAGTGTGGTCTAGAGAATTCT